TAAAAAGTCACAGTATAGTAAGGCATAAAAACACCTAAAAATGTCATAGTATAGTAAGGCATAAAAACGTGAAAAAACGTAATAGTATAGGAAGGCATAAAAACTTCAAAAAACATTATAGTAAAGTAAGGCATAAAAACGTCAACAAATGTCATAGTATTGTAAGGCTTAAAAACGTCTAAGTATAGTACTGTATAAAAATGACTTAGTATATCAAGTCACAAAAACATCACAGCATAATAAGGCATAAAAACACCATAGTATATAAAGGCATATAAACATAATTTTATAGTAAGGCACAAAAATGTCATAGTACAGTAAGGCATAAAAAAAAATCACTTTAGTCATGGTAAAATTTTAATGGGATTTTTCGACAGAAATTAAACACATACATTGATATATCCACCATATCATGTTTACTCCTGCTACCAACCTGACTGCTAGCCTGGAGAGTGATGTATCACATTGGAATGATCTAATATTACTTTACTCCAAACTTCCATCCTTAAGCAAACCTACTCCCTTGGCGATCATCATAAAGCGAAAGCTAGTGTTTTCCCTGTCTCCTTTTCGCTGTCATTTTAATTCTTCACTGTCACACAGAGGGTGTAGAATCGAGCGCGTGTCCTTTGCCGTCGTCTCCGCCCGTATTCCTCTACTGTTTTATCTGAGCGGCCTCTTTCCAGCCCACAGCCTCCTCCTGGCGACCTCCTTCTGGCTCCCTGCCAGAGTGCCAATCATTGCATCTGTCTGTCAGCAGAATACCAACTGATTAATGCTTTCACTGCGGCCATTAATAAAACTGCATAGAGGCTGCTCTCTCTAATTGAGAGGTGCAGCTTGGGCTGAATGAGAAGGACATACACAGTAGAAACATGTGAACTTGTGTGTGTGTGTGTACACATCTGTGTGCATGTGTGTGTTTTAGGGGATGAGGGGTGAGATGCTCTCACGTATGACAGCCCATGATATAGTTGCTCTAGTGTAAAAAACAAACTGTACACTCAGTTATTTATGTGAGGGTGCACACAGAATGTTTTATGATTTCATTGAGTGTCTTTTCCTGTCCTGTGTGATAGTAGCTGTTCTCCAGCTTTGATCTTGATATTCTGCACAACAGCAGAATCATTGTGGTGTCATGATAGAGTGCTGGTGTCTAGGCCACTGGCACCAGCAGTGATCCACAGGCACTCTGCTGGACACACCCTGACTACTTGGCTCATTTGTGCCATCCATCTCCCCTCTTCTCATACAGTGAAGGATTCCAGCACTGCAATCATTTGTTCTGGGGATGAAGGGAAAGGATGCACTTCAGTGGCACGTGTCTGAACGTGTAGAAGCATATCTCTAATATGCCCATATAGACATTTAGAGAAAAAATAGTTTCTTATAAAGGCTAAGACTAATGTTAATTTTGTTTACTTTTATTACTTGTATCCCTGTCAGAAAGTCCAGTCCCCTCTGCAAGCTCCTCAGATCTCCTGTCAGTGATGAGCTTCATCTGGAGGGTCTAACACGTTCCATAATGTCCCACCAATTCATACCAGAAGGTGCAGCAGCAAGGACAAGGTCACAAAAGGGCTTGCTACCCAGAAACATGGTTGTTTCAGAAACAGCCATGTTTATGGCTCAAAGACAGCAGCTACAACAGATACAAAATAAAATGTCGTGTTGTTGGTCTCTTCAGGGGAATTGTTGATAGACTGTTGAACACTAACCTTATTATTAATTTCTAAAGTGCTATTTCTGCAAATAGCTGCCAACAAACTGTTATGAGCAGAGACATTGTCCACAAGTGTAGACAGTGTGTAGACATTCACTTTTTGTGATTACCGTATTCCAAAGTATGAGCCTTGGGCTGGTTGACAGCAGAGCACACAGTCGGGTAATTGGCTCCTGTGTGTTTACGAGAGGGGAGTTTTAGCCTTACTGATGGATGGAGTGAACCGGGGGGGTTCACTCTTTTTGAAACTTTTGAATTTTAATTAGTGGCAAGGTAGTGTTTGGTTTAGATGGAGTAATGATTAAAGGAGGAGAGAAGGGAGAAGCTGTCTTTCTGACTGAACCTTACACAGCTTCATGAGACATACTCTATTGACTTACAGTGGCATAGACTTTATTCACTCCTGCACAGCTGAAGAAGCTCCGGAGCCAACTGGCAGAGAGTAGGACAAACCACTGCGAAAGATATATATAGATATCTGCAGAGAGGTCAGACCGCACCATCTTCAACTCTTTATTGACACCTTCAGTTTAAAAATACCACAAATGTCAGCCTTTAAAAAAAAAAAAAAAAAAAATTCAAATCCTCCCCAAAACTGTAACTGTCCGACAGAGCTTACTAGCCACACCGGGTGCGTTGGCATCAAGGTTTATTATCCTTTATAATGTACAATATACAAAAATATAGGGTACCAAAAAATTCACAGTGTCTAAAAGGCAGTGATTACAGTCTACATGACAGGTCTAACAGTACACCTGGTAAGTTGCATAGAAGGGCACAGAGCCTCACATCGCAGGGGACAGAGCTCATAATTGACCAATCAGACGGCAGGCTTTCACACCAGGCCAATAGAGGGTTAGCTTTGATCAAAAAGCCGACTTCTGAATTCTGAATTCAGAAGCTGTCTGTACTATTTGATACTCTCTCATATTATCAGTGCTATGCTGAGTTATTTTCAGCCGGAGGTTCATGTGTCTCTCTGGAAATTTGATGTTTGAGCAGCTGGGAAAGGTCGTAAGCCACAGGCAGTTGGGTCACATTGTGGAGCTCTGTCCCCAAACAAACCTCATGGTTGGTGTGTACTTAGCTGCTGCACTTTTTTTTTATTTTTTTTAAACAACTATAAGGCTTTTTTTTAAACAAACAGTGTTAGCTATACAATATACAGATACATTTACACGATCCTCTTCAGGGTCATTAGATGGGCTGCAGAAGGCTGTCGCTCCTATATACAGATAGAGCTCTCATCTCGTGCATGTACAGTAGCTGATGTGAAAAGCATTGCTGGGTTAGCATTCATCGATCAGGCAATAATAATAAAATATAGCTGTGAAAATGCCCTTTTATAAACCAAGCTCTGACTATAAATAGAGTCTGTTCCACCTCTGTGGGAACCAGAGGTGCGATGCTTTAACTTACAATGATTAACATCTCATACATGAAATATAGAAAAACCAGTAGAGTGCCTGGAGTGTCAGTGACAGAATGTGGAAACAAAATGCACCAAAGAATAAAACAAAAACAAAACAAATGTCTTCTCATATATAGTCATATGTATGAAAGCATTTACATTGTACAAAATACAGTTACACCCCTTTGCTCATTCAGGCATACAGACACACATAGAGTACATGTGTTTGCATGTACACACATCTACACACACATGCACTCAGTTTGATCTTCACACAGGCAAACTTCTAAGCAAGCATAATTTACTTTTTTTGTGTTTTTTTGTTCTTCTTTTTCAAGCAGGGCCAAATAGATGTTTTGTTACAATAATTTTTTTTTTGTAAAAACCATATCAGTAATCTTTTTCTTCGTGTTAACATTTCAGGTATTGAAGATGCGACAAACTGTTTAAAAAAAAAAAAAAAAATCAAGAAAGCAAAAGGAATGTGTTCGTTCATTGAAGTGAAATTAGAGAAACAACAATTAATCAGCTATATCTTATTCAACAAAATATGTCCTCCTATGCTACAGCTCATCTGAGCATAAAACAATTATCTTAAAAAACAAACGCTAAAAAAAAAGAAAAAAAAAAAAGAGAACAAGTGCCAGTCTACTAGCTTATTCTACCATCATAGAAAACCCAATCCAGTTGTTCAGCACACTGGCCATATTTGATATGACCACCGAGCTATTTAACACTCAGTAGAATTGATGCATCCTTTGGAGAATCAATTGGAGAATCAATCAATTCTCTTTCAGAAGTCTTTATTGTTCTTGGGAAAAAATGAAACAGAAGAAATAGAAAGGAAACAAACCTCGCCCCTGCCCTCTATTGCATACAGGCACCCAAGGCATTCCCAAAGCTTTATGTACATTTCAGACCGCGTCCCACAACCCCCCTTGCTTCGACTCTACGAATGAACGTCCTTGTCCGCAAAAGGCGTGACTCCGATCACAGGCAGATTTTAGAGATTATTTCTCTCCACCTCAGGCTGATGTTTAGCGTTGCGACTCCTCCAAACATCCATTCAAACACTAAATCGACTCTGAAGTTCTTATCTTTTCTGTCACGTGAAATTCCAACAATGCGGGGTGTGCATCCGCTCCCGAAGAACCAAGCTGATATTGATCTCTAATTTATTTCATCATCGACTTCATTGAGTTTTCTCTTTTGTTGTTGCTCTCTCGTGCCGTGCTGTGTGGCAAGGATGTAATGATATGCGCTGTTTGTTCTCAGTAACTGCTTTTGTTGTCGAGGGACTCCAAGTTCATTACAGGCTGAGAATGGGGCTTGAAATGGAGAGGCGTAAAGCGGTGACCCAATTCCAGTGAAATGGATTTTTTTTTTTTTTTTTTAAATGTTCTGTTCTCGTTCTTTTCTGCAATTGTGGATTCTAGACTCAGCACCTGCGCTGAGGTGTTCAGGTCACATTAATCTGTCTAAAGCCATGACTCATCGTTTTCCACTGGATCCCCACATGAAGACGAAGCTCCGGGTTGACACTGCTTTGTCAAGTCAGGCCCTTACAATAACACCCCCCGAGCTGGTTGCATCAGTCCCTGACTGCACCAGGACATGGGTATTGTTTTCCAAACCCACGTCTTCTAATGGAAAGTTCCAGAAACGCCCTTGAAAACACAAACCCTACCATGCGGAAGAGACTACGGGAGTGAGGAGAGGGGCGATGGCGAACGGAGGAACCTCTGGCTCTGAGAAACATTTCAGTTCATGTCGGTTCAGTTATGTCACCATGGCATTGGGGTGGTGTTCGTTTGGGGCGGCGGCAGGGGGGGCGGGGGAGCGGGAGAGCCAGTTGTGGGGCGTGTCTCAGCTGTTGTTGCTGTGGTTGTAGGTCCTGCATGGCGAAGGGGAGGAGTTGGGCTGGTAGTCGAACTTGCCGAGCGCTGTGGGATAGTAGGTGGTGGTGTAGACGTTCGTCTGCTGCAGCGGTGTTGGGTAGAAGTTGGATCTTTCATCTGGCAGCAAGTTGTTTTTGTTCAGTGTCTGGAATGACAGCAGAGAAAAAAAGTTGGATTAAACTCTCCCACTCTTACAGCTTATCCATCACATGTAATATTCATGAATATTTTCAAAAAATTGACTGAATTAACTCTGACGAGGAAAACATATCTGTCCTGCTAAAAGATTTTCTGCGTCTAATCGAGTTTATTAAGTTTGTCTTTAAGGAATAGCTCTAGATTTTTAATTTTTGGGACTTTGGACAGGCTAGCTGTTTTCCTTTATGCTAAGCTAACTGTCCACTTGCTGTAGCTTCATATTAACCATACAAGAAAGCGAATAAGCGTATTCCAAAATGTTGAACTGTTCCTCTAAAATAAAACCTGCCAAAGCAACAAAATACTTCAACCTGTTTCCAATGACAATCAGCTGTCACGTATTTCCTAAAATATCTGCTTATTCTAATTTAAGATACCAGTCTCCTCTACAGTCACATCCCGCCTCCCCCAAGAAACCAAAACTTAAAAAACAAGATATTCTATTTAAGTCATTTACCTAATTTATGTGCACTTGTTTCATTTCAGCTGAGTGTGAGAGTCTCTACTGCGTTTTGCTGTCATTTACGGTCACGCACAGTCTCCTCTCCTCTGCTTTCTATTTCACCGTGTGTGTGTGTGTGTGTGTGTGTGTGTGTGTGTGTGTGTGTCTTCTCCCCACACACAGCAGAGGAGAGACAGGTTGACAACTCGTTACGTTAAGTGCAATAAAAGCTTTCCAACAAGTGTTAGAGAACCAAAGATGGACAGACACCGACCCCAAACGTTTGAAAGTCAGGCCCAAAATATGTTTTTTAAATGCACTCAATCTGGCGAGGGTGTCTGCTGCTGATGGCAGGGAGGCTGGTCTTGGCCCTCGCACTCACAGCTCTCCTGCTGTTGCAGCTACAAAGCAGCCACCCAAGGGAAACACTGGATACAGACTCTCATTTCAGGAAAATCCTGTAAACAAGGGCGAGGGTTGGGTTTTTCATTGGAAGATGTTTTCAGTTATTATCTGAAAATAAAGTTTTGAGGACTTAATTATAGCCAGAACTGATAGAGATTGTTTACAGTGTGTTTTATTCTTGCCCTGCAGATGAATAAAATACCTGCACTAGTGTTGAGGTTATAGCTTGTGTGCTGCAAGTGTATTCATAACCAAAGCAAACCAATTGAACAAATTTAATTTAGTTCATGTCAAGCTTACTCAATACACTAATATACGAGATGGAAGGAATTCACTGCAGCTCTCTTAAATAAAAACAAGTCTAAAACCCACATTTTATTCTAATGCAATTGCTGAGTCTTGGTAAAAGCTGAACATAAGGTGAAACACTTTCCAGGGGAAGCATTAGACTAATGTAATCCATCTGAATAGCTCTAGGGACTGAGGCAGGAAGATAATCAGGTTAGAGTCGGTGAAATACACAACGCTGGGCATCATAAATTGGCCTGGAGGAGAGGGAACCTGCTGGATAAACAGCGCTGTAGTGGAGCACAGTGACATCGGCTGCAGATCCAGCATAGGCTGGCCGCCCCCTCTGGTCATTAAAGCTAATGAGTTCAGGCTCTCAACACCACAGCGGCTGTCAGCGCTGTGTCCACACACCAGCAACAACAGCGGCAAGGACAGCAAGTGTCAGGAGGCTGACGCGATCAAAAAGACGGGGACGGGTCGTTGTGGTTAGGCACCATGTTCCTGCCACGCTTTGGTAGGATCTTTAGATACGGCTTCATTGATAGCAAAGGTTAAGATGAATCCCTGCTGGCACTTGATAGCTGATGTCAGACACCGAAAATAGCTCTGGGTTAAAACAAATGCAGGGGGTGCCATTTAGAAGATGAAATGCAATCCAGAAAGTGCTGTTTGAATAATACGTCCATAAAGTGAAGGCCTATCAGCTGCCAAAACACCACACAGCCGTTTATAATATCTAAGACAGGATTTTACAGAAAAGTTCACAAACACAGTGACACTAATTTTATTTCATACACCTTGATGATTGTGGGGTAAACAGTAGTCTACCAGCTAGTGTTCATTTCATTAATGTGAATCGTGATGAAATACATTCGACCTCTTTTCCCCATGATGAAGCAGAGAGTCCCCGGTTCGACTCCCGCTGCATGTTGTTCCCTTACTCCCGCCCTGAGTTTCCTCTCTATCTCGACTGGTTCTAATAAAGGCAAAAATGGCCAAAAAATGACTTTAAAAAACAAAAATGGTGACAATATCAATCGAAATCTCTATATTCATTGATGAAAAAAGAGGAGACATAATTACACAATGACATAATCCAAATGTCGTTTGAATGACTGCACTATACATTTCTCTTGTGCATTCAAACATCCTCCCAGTAACCCTGCACACCAGCAGCGCATCGCCAACAGCACCAGCTTGCACCCAGCCACCGTATGGACTTTTAACAGCACAGCTTTTCTCTTTAACTCAGGCTTTCTGTCAAATATCCTCAAGCTCAGCGTGATATAACCCTGATGACATCATCAGGGTCAGTGAAACAGTGTTTTCACTTCCTGTTTCACTTCCTGATCCACAGTATTAGTTTAACATAACATGAAGCCCCACAGACTCTAAATGGTTCTGTTAACTGTATCGTTGGATCAGGAAGCTGTTAAACATCAAAAAACACCTTTTCACCCAAAATGCAGTTTTGCAGAGGAAGCCATGACAATCACCTAACAGTGCAGTCTGAGATGCAACAAGTGTGTAAGGCGCGATGGTTTAGTGTCAACAGGAAATGTGATGTCGTCTCCTGATAGGCATGTTCACTATGTGTCTGAAAGCGATGTCAAAACATCTGTTTGTTATATCGTTTCGTGATCTGAGCTGCTCTGTGATCACAGAGACTCAGCAGCGAGGGCGACCTGTCCAACACTTTCAAGGTAAGACGGATGCAGTTGCTGATTTTGGATGATGTGACCGAATATAAGAGAAAGAAATGAATCACTGTGCTGCTTCTGAAATGCAGAATAATATATTTTGGAGTATCAAGTTCAACTTGGGAAAACAACGTGGGCAACAGTCATGAGACAAAAGTGGTTGGTGTAAGATCAGAGAATTTAATTAACTTAAATCAGTGATTAGGAGAAAAAAGCCTGGAGCGTCCATGCTGACAAAAAATGAAATGGTGGTGACAAAGATCAAACTCAACCCAGCTGTTTATCACAAGCTTGCTTTGAAGCACTTTACAGTGACAGGAAAATCAATCATTTCCCTGAATCAGCGATCGGTTAGGGAGCAAACAACAGAAATTGTGGAGAACAGGACACAACTTTGCACTGAAAGTCTGTGAATCTCCGGTGAAAACAGTTTCTTGACTTGCTGTAAATGTGAATGCACAGTAGAGCGATAGCAGAGGGGAGGTCAAGGGCTGACTAATGCTTTAGAAAGTTAATGGGGCCCATTAATAAGGACTTGGTTTGTGGGCAGGTAGAAAGGCTTAAAGCCTATAAGTTCTGTATAAGAGCAAGGAGGAATAAAAATGAACAGTAATTCATCTTCTGTGGTTAGCGCTCTATTGAGATAAATGCATGAATAAAGGCTCTAAATAAAACATGAATCACATTCACTGCCCTTGAATCCTCAACATTAACATTGGGTGTGTTTGTGCATGTGAGTAAGACCAGGTAAACAGTCCCTTTTACTTTCATCTGTTAAATATTTAGAAACGAAGCCCCTCTGATGATCACGTACCTTGAACTCCATGGGCGTGTACTTCTCGTTCTTTGGCGTGGTGTTGCCCTTATAGTTGAGGTGGTTCGGGGTGGTGGGGTGAATGACGGCAGACTCCTGCGAGGGCTTGTGGAAACGTTGACAGTAGACGTAGATCAGGAAGGACAGCAGCCCCGCCCCGAGGAAACAAGACACACCGGTGGCGATTAGGTGGATGGAGGTGAACGCTGGGAAATGAAGCAGATACACGGGGTGTCGTTAAAGCGTCAGCATACAGTGCTGCATTGTGAATGTGATAGAAGATTAAATGGACAGTTTATAATTTTTAATTTACCATCATTAGTTGACGACTCATTCAGTTGAGTTTCTCCTATGATACTGTTTGTGTTATTAGAAATGAATGTGCTTTTGTTATGCATTGAGGAAGCCCACTGTTCATGCTTTAGGAGGTCCGGGTTCAGAGGTTAAGGAGACGTCTGTATGTATGTATGTATATCTTGTGGGTGTTGTAATCATAAGCTGATATGTAGCGTTCATTTCTTTGTCCCTTGCTCTATGAAAGGCTCAGCCCGACTCTGTACTGTTGGGACAGGGAATGATTAAACTTGCCAACTTTGTGTCAGTCTTTTCCCCTTATTGATCAATAATAATCTTTTTTATTAATCTCTGGCTCGATCAGCGTCTGTGTCCAGTGCTTTAACCAAAACTCCACTACATTATTCTCTTTTGAAAAAACTTGTTTCTTGTACAAGATTTATCACAATCCTCACTCTGAATTAGATTAAGACAGATCTTAAATAGGCAATACAATATCCGGTGGCTTAATGGTTAAGACACCATATAATCCTAACGTTACTCCCTCAGTTTAATTCAAACATCTGTTGCATGTCATATCTCTCCACCCTCCACATATTCTGGCTTTATTTACACTGTAAGCTGTCCAATAAAGGAAAAGGGAGGAAAACAAGAAAGTAGAACCAATAATTAAAAATTCACTACTTCACTCAAAGTCTCTTCCAACACTTGATTAAATTATCGGGTCGTCACTGTTCTTGGCTCCCAATTTTCACCCTGGAAACATTGTCAAATGCTCCAAAAATCAGACTCTGAACAAATTTAGCTGAGAAACGAGCCTTTGCAGAATTATTCATACAGGTGGACGGCTCAGGCCAATATTACCTGGCACTCCTCAATATTACTCTGTTGGTAACGCTCATGCCAACGTTGTTTGCCGTCACAGCTTTCGCTAAACAAAAACCTCGTCCAAGTTTTCTATTCGGTTGAATAAACCAAAGCGTAACGCTCATGTATGTGTTTAAGGGGGGGATTAGTTCTCTCAGCAAAGTCCTTGGATTCTTTCACTGCTCCTTCAAAGAGCCGCTTCAGTATGAGTGGCCAGTTCTCTGACGCAAGTGACTGAGCTATTAGATAGTTAGGTTAAACCTAACCTCTTTCTTTCTTCTTATGATGGAATACAGCAGTGACTTTACAAGGGCTATGACATTGGCATCTCTTTTTTGTTGATCTGTCTTTTCAAGGACAGGGATGTGCACTTGGGTTTGTACTTTTGGTTTTGTATTACCGATCAGTAATTTATGACGATGTGAGTCAGGCATTTCTTTATAGTTATTCAACCTGCGGCCCCTTCCCGTTTCTTTCCGCCTCCTGATTGTTAGAGTTTTGCACAGACTGAAATAAACACATGCACGAAGATGCACATATAAATGTATGAAAACTCACATCGTGGACAGACATCTGTGGAGACATACAGGGGCATAAAAACAAACAAAAACCCTAACGTGCACACAGAAACAAAGCGAAGGCAGCTGTTAATCCACTTACCTCCACAGTGTTTGTCCTTATCAAAACCAGATGCAGGGAGAATGACTGCAGAGAGGAGAGGAACACAGGGTCAGACACACACATGCACACACACACACACACATGCACGCACACACACATACACAGTCCCTGGAGAAACAGCCTTCAGAACACAACAACCACCGACTGTAACACCAGGAGAGTTGACACATGGAGAAACAAAAACAGTGAATGAGAAATTGAAATGTTATTTAAAATGTTATGCAAACGGTCCACGGTGATTTATTTGTTTCGGTGAATTCCACAACCGTTGAGCTCTGCTCCGTCGTACTGAAACTCTCTAGCGGCTGTTAGAGACACTTGACGTCAAGACAATAATTTACATCTCCAACACATCCTGTCCTAACATATCCAAGAAGGTAAGAAGGAGGGAGCAGGGAGGGTTGGTATGTGTGTGTGTGTGTGTGTGTGTGTGTGTGTGTGTGTGTGTGTGTGTGTGTGTGTGTGTGTGTGAACAGTTTTAATTGCAGTGCCACATCTCCTGATTAATTTTTTGGCCTAATTCTTCAGCTTCCACAGCCGCCTCCCCTCTGCCAGTGACCTTAACAAATCCATCCATCGCCTCATTGAAATTTGCACTGAAATTAGATGTGATTTGGTGTTGTGACAACCCATTAATATTAATCGCCTTCGTCTGGACTCATTAGGGAGTCTGAGTGTGGAGAGGCCGGCTCTGGCAGGCCATGAAAGATCATTTCAGCAGAAACTTTCTGAAATCGTCATCAGCATAACAAGGTGCGCCGGGGCCAACGGGGTCAACTGCTAACTTGTTGGATTCACATGGACTTAATTATCGTTAATTAACAGAAGCAGATGAGTTTAGTGCACAAACAGGCTACACACACGCACACACACACAAGCGACTGGGTGTTTGTGTGCGTGGACGTGAGTGGATAGGGATGGTGAGGATGATGATTATGCTGACACTCAATGACTATGACACTGTGTAAATATTTGACAATGACAGACGAGGTATCGCAAAAATCACAAGCTGCTGCTGCTGCTGCTTCTGAATGATGCTAAAGGAGGACGCAAGGATTGTGGGCTGAGCCTGAAGCTCCTCCCAGAATTACACGGTCTGACCTCACAAAGTCGTCAAACCTCTGATGGATGATAAAGCAGTAAAAAAGTTTGATGATAACCTGATGTGTGTTTACTTCTTGTTTTAATCGCTTTGCACAGTTAAAACATCAGTAAAAAACTAGTGCTGGAATTATTAGGCAATAAATTGACTAGTTGATCGTAGGGTTGGGTGATAAATCAGCACTATTTTTTAATTTTCAGTGGAATTATATTGGATCATATGATCTTATATTATTGTTCTAATCATTCTCGTCCAACGTAATTATTCCTTTGAATGATATAAACCCCTAACCCTTTCCAAATGTTGTTCAAAATGACAGAGCAGGTTTCTGTTTGTTTTTTCAACTGTTTACTTTTGTTGTCAACAGTTTTCTTGTCCCTCGGATGACAATCTGTATTTTTGAAAAGGCGAACAAGCCCAAGCACAATGTGTACTTTGCTTTCCACACTGAAAGTACAAGCTTACGTGTTTCTATTTGAAGGTGTCATAAACTAAAGGCAGCGTTAGCCTCGAGGTTAGAGAAGGGAGCTTGTGACCGGAAGATCCCTGGACCAGAAAAGTGAAAAGGCGATGCTTGCCTTCCCACATAAACATCACTGTGGTGCCCTTGAGCCCATCTGCTCCAGCAGAGCTGCTCAGTGGCCGGCAGGTGTGAGCAGCTTTCAGGTGTGAATGTGTGTAAGTGAGTGAATGTGATCAGGGTGTTCCTGTAAAAGAGGTTGCCTCTCAGCAAAAAACGAAAACAAAGCCAAGCTAAAAGCATGATAAAACAAATGGAAAGCATGCAGGGTATTTCAAGATATTCAGGGCTGCAAAGGTCTCACACAAGTCGTCAACGCAACATTGTGCCAAAAGAACATCGCACTAGAGGAATTCAACCTTGACCTCCCATGAAGGAGGCTGCACATGCACGTTGTGTATCTGAGAGCTGACTGACTCACCAGGTATTTCATTGCAGTCTCTGCGCTGAGTGCTGTTCCCCACACAGGGGGTGTTGCCCTGAGCACCACACACCCGACTCCTCATCTGCAAGCCTGAATCATCACAGGCCGACCACAGCGACCAGGCCATCCAGCCACCTAAACACAGAAAAAAGAACAATCAATACAAACCCAGACAACCAGAAGGCCGCACCAAACTCAGACAGCCTGGAAACCAACGCGCCCACCCAGGCTGTAGCCACCCGCGGCCACGAACCCTTCCTGGCCAGCCAAACGGCCCCAAACACACCGAAAAGTGTTTGTGATGTAAACAGGATTGGAAGAGTAAACCCGTGGAGAGTTTGTTTAGTGCATAGCGGAGATGTTTGTCTCCTGAGCCAAGCTTTAGTGCCGTTTCCCCGCAGCAGGCAACCGAGCAGTAAACAAAGGCTGCTACCCAAGAGGAAAGAGAAAATTCCCAACTCTCCGGTCCTCCCTTTGAACCACATACTCGCTGCATTCTTTCACCCTGTATTTAAAAGCACCGGAGTGGAGGGAGCGCAGGCTACTGCAATGAAAGGCTGATGAAAAGGCTGGTTTGTTATTCAGGGTGCTCTCAAGTGTGCAGTTTTGGCAGAGAGGGCCAGAGTAGAGCCACAGGACAGGCCTCTTTTACCTTCCCTATCAGTCTGGTGCTCAGCGACAGGCTGCTCAGTCTCCACCACCTGTTCCCTTCTCGCGGCACAACCATCTAGACACACAAAACACACAGTCCACCTCAAACATGTTTAATAACCGTGCATCACTACAGCCCATTTTAATTGCTTCATTTATTCCCATTTATTTTGGTCACCCAGACGACCTGCATATTCGCACATGTCGAGTCAGAAGGAACGGCGTCAGGCCCGAGGCTCCTCGTTAGTATTCTGTCCCCACAGTTCCTCCTGCTGTCCTCCATTACTGGTGGACACTTTAATCAAATGACCTGCAACAGGGGCATCAAATATCCCTGTGACTGACAGCCAGCTTGCCTCTAATTACACATGCAGTGGCACCAGGAGGACCCCCGATAGATGACTGATGTCGTGCCCGTCAATAATGTACGGGACAAGGAGACAGATCGGGGCTGGAGAGGTTGTTAGCAGACAGTCGATCGGCGCAGGCCCAAAGGGATGTGTTGGTCAACGTCAAACAGGAAAACATTAACCTGATAAAGGAGCCTGATTAGCATCTCGACAAAAGGAGGAGAAAAAGACAGAAAGCCATTTACCTTTCTTTGTAATTACCAGGACGGCTGACTGTAAGCGTTACTCTCCCAGTGAATGACAGCTGGGCTGATTCAATATGAAAAGCAGCTGAGGAAAACCACAGTTAAGGGGAAACTACCATTTAATTCAGGCAGAAATCATCCGCATCACTGCACGCACCCACACACGCACACACACAAACACACACACACACTTTCAAAGATATACGTGAACACCCCATGGATATTTGCCACGGCCGTTTTTTGTTTTCCATCAAAATGAATAAAGAAAGAAAGAAAGAAAGAAAAAAAAGATGAAAATCACACTGGTGACAAAACGTTGAAGGCTGTTTGATATTAAACTCTAGACTCTTTATTATGAGTTCTGATACTGGACTTTTTTCTCCTCCCGGATTAGCAGGCAGATCTCTCATGAATATTTCAGTGTCCTTGAACGAGCAAAATGGGAGTAGACGGGAGGGGAACATGGAGGGCGTTGTTATACATCTCACATCTCATCATCACATGATGTGAGACTTTGGGCTAACGTCCAAATCCAAAAAAAATTAACACCATTAGAACATTAAATTTTATTTCAACCCGACTGTAGCATAAGCCACCTGCTGTTTCATGTTTTATCATACGTTAGTTATGTTGTTAAAGGATCAGTTTATACAAATGACTAAAATACATTTACCTGCAGTGGTTTCTTGATAGTTTTGTTTTTAATTTTCAAGGCTTTAAGATATCCACTTCTGATATTTTGGTCTCCTTCCAACAGAGGTAAAAGAAATTACATTTGTTGAAAAATTCCATTTAAATAAAATTTAAAAGCAAGAAAAAAAAATGTTGCACTTAAACTGGAGCATGTGGACTCAACATAGGTCGTAGGTCTGGAACAATGGCATAAAAGTTCCCTGCCAAATAAAGAGTTAACAAAAGCTGTTTTTGTTCGTTTTGCAAACTTTAGAGAATAAATGAGTTAACAGATTCTTTCATATCACTCCTGTTTTTCACTAATTGTTCTGTTAATCATTGTTCTGTTTATAATTGTTCTGTTAATAAATCTATTTTGGTGCAAAAACTTGAAAGTTAGACATAAACTCGATACTGTGTTTTTGCTTTTTACTACCAACATCAAACACACACTTTACATTCACAGACTTTTGAAAACTTCAGATGAGTCATGAGATTTCCATATGGTTGATACATCACAAGTGCCTCTCTTTTTAAACCTTTCTAGAGAGGTTGCCATGGCGCTCAGAGCTGCAGCAGCAGCAGCAGCAGCACAGCGGGAAAAACACGGTGGGAGGATGGGTTGTTCTCTCAGCAGGACTCTGTTTATCTTTTTCGTACATCTATGACCTGGTTTATTCAGTGGGCAAAGATGGAGGAAGCAATTTAGCAAATGGGACAACACAGAAATGACACGGTGTGGGAGATGACTGCCTGCCTGCCTGGAGGTGTGATGAAAGCACACCAAGCTATGGTGGCATGACAGGGTTAGGTTCTGAATTTATGTGCGACCTTACCATCGCAGGTGTGTGTGTTGCACAGGGCCTCTTCTGTGTGCAGTCCTATGCAGATGTCCCCTCCGTTGGAAGGCACAGGGCTGTTGCAAGAGCGCGTGCGTTGGTAGTGACCGCCGCCACAACCCACCGAGCACTGAGACCAGGACGACCAGCAGGACCACGCACCTTTCACTGTAACGCACACACGTACACGTTACAGAACATAATCCCATCCTGCCTTTGTAGATGTGATGAGACACACACTAATCCAAACTATCCTGGCTGCCAGTTAAGACTAATGTTCTTCTTAGTGGCAGACGCTATCAGGAAAAACATTTTCTTCAGTAAGCCTGGATTGATTTGGGCTCAGTTTGAATGTCACAATGACTTAAGACTTGGCGGCTGTGATGCTTGACTTCCTTAAGACTTCAAAGAAAAAGAAACATTCTTAAGTTCTTAAGTTTTGACCTATTAAATCCCAGAACAATAAAAACATCTTTAATATCTAAATATTTGGCCAATTTAAAAGACTCTAAGCTATGTGAAAAAAAAACTCTGTTAATACAAGTAACATTTCATATTGGTGGCCAGTATTTACAGACTTGCTCATGAAGACTTGTGACAAGACTCTGAGACCTGAACCTGCTCTGCTGGTATCTTTTCGCTCTGTGTTATTTGCCGGTTGCACCAGCTGAATGTTCCCCAAGGCTGCTAGTAAAATGTGTTTTTACCCTGAGGCAGAATTTATATCTGTTGCACCACCCGGGCACCTTAACGTGTTTTTAAATATTTAGATGTTGTTCAGACCTTTATCAGGTCAAATAAAAACTGTTCATTCACAGATTTTTTTTTTTACTTGCCTTCTCATGCTTGTTCATGTGAAATCTGATCACACGATTTTCATTTTAAACACATTTTTCATTCATGTTTGTCTTACTGCGCCCTGCACACAATGCAATACACAATACATTTTGTATTTCATATATTTTACCACTTAGTTTTCCACAGTTGCAATATCTTTTTGAGGTTTAGCTCTCTTGCTGATCATAGTCTACTTTGCCTTTGCCGTGTCCTGTCATTACTGTTGCATTTATTTAGTCTTTCCATGGGGACCGTTAATGTTTAATCTGATCTAATCAGAGGAGCATGACCGACTAATTGACTGGCTGGTTGAATGGCTGATGTCTGTCTGACTGACAGAGAGAAGCAGCGTTGCCAGGTAACGTCACAGCGCTGCAGAAAACTCCATTAGCTGAGTGGATTAGTGTGACATAGAGGCAGGAAGCAGGCTGTGGCCACTTAACTCTGACTAGCTCTCACAGCCAGCCACCGCTCTGCCCGACTGACTCTCTGACTAACTGGCTGTTTACCTGGCTGACTGGCTGAGTGTCTGACTCACTGAATTACTGAGCGGCTCACTGACTACCTGACTGACATACTGTTTTTATAGCTATTTGCCTGTCCTCCTGCTCAGAATAATGAAGTCAGAACGTGGTCAGAGTGGAATGCCTCTCGCTGTGTTTTCACCTGGTGCTAGCCAGACACCTGGCTTGTCATATCCATAGACTGTGGGTCATATCAGACACTAGGGTTAGGGGTGACGTTAGGGGGTGAGAGATGAAACCCAGTGCTTGTTTCAATTACACCATCTGTATTGATTGTTTTCACAGCAGAATGAATCGAAAGTCTAGCGACAACTTATAATCAACTCTCAAAGCGAACAATACATTGTTTCAAAACCAAAGACTCACAACATTATCAGGAGAGAACTAGGCTCCTGTCGTCAGAGGACACACAAATATGAATCTGTCGAACAATGAATTGCATTGTGATCTCTTGCATACTAATTAGGTAGAGTTAACATGTTCTGGCACTGGATCACAGCCACAACTACAGCTCCATTTCCAACCTTCATGTGTTTGTTTGGCCGCCTCCAAACAACAGCTGTAGAGACTTGAGACTAGACCTGACTGACTTGTCTCCTCTAGCTGAAGTCGTAACTCACACTTGACCTGAACTGACTCGGATTGACTGGAGACTTAATGTGTATTGAGCTGTGAATTGAGACTTGAGTCTTGGCTCGGACTGACTTGATGCTTGACGAGGAAGTGACTCGGAATGACTTCAGACGTGACTTTGACTTGTCCTGAATGACTTGAAAATTGATTTGAACTGAAGTTAGACTTGAGACGGGCTTCGTCAGCTGACTCGAGGCTTGACTTTGACTTGCTTTGAAAGATTTAGAATAACTGTGTTGATCTGATGTTTACAGGGTTTTTAATTGCACTCCTGAAGAAGAACTGCACCTTTGCAGTTTGCTAATGTACACTTGAAGTGACATGAGGCTGGCTTTGTTAATACTTCAGATAGGACTTGAACTTCACTCACAATAAGTACTTACGGACAGCTCTATAGTATAGTGGTTGATTTAAAACCAAGCCATGTTGAATACTGAATTAATAATTACCTTAAATATGAAGTCTGCAGGGACAGTGTTGCTCGTTTGACATTATGCCGTGGAACTGGGGATTCAGAATACAGACCTAACTTAAAGAGCTGCTTTTAGGTCACAACTTCTTGTAATGAAACTCATAATTGAATTCAGGCCACTTGTGACTTACCAACTAACTCAATGACTCTTTGTCTTACACACTCACTCACTCACAAACACACACACACACTCAGAAACCTGCTTCCTTCGCACATGCACTACCACGCATTTCAATCTCCTCTGCAATTTGTTTTATCTCCATCCTTCTCTCTGATCTCATCATCAATTGCTATTTCACACTCATTCTCTCTTTTGTCACTGGCCTCGTCCTTCTCACCTGCGTGTCTACCTGAGACAGACGCTTCCAGACCGGCTGCACTTGTGACACTGATTGCAAAAGGCTTCCTGATTGGCCGTCTCGCCTGGGCTTATTTAGGTTCTACGTGTCAGTCGCTAAGCAAACCAATAAAGATTTTCATGTACAACAACTGACATTTAAATACACTACAGAATGAATCATTAATTCATAAGGTACCAGCCATGACTATTTAAGGCGACCTCTTAAGAGGAGTTCAGCCCTCGTGTGTGCATGCCTGTCCTCGGTCTGGTTTAATAAGTGTAGCCTGTCAGTGCAGCAGCCTGTGGTCAGCAGAGTTTTAGGTCAGCTGATTATGGTTTGATGAGTAGTTTGAAATAGACAACTTCATTTGTTCAAGGACTCTCCCTGCACTGCTGCTGCTGCTGGTAACCATTAGCTAATGAAGCTAATGATCCACTATGCAGTATTTTACCATTGACCTCCCTCTGTCTCTGTCTCTACTTCTGCCTCAGTGTGCATGTCTTTTCTTTATGAACCCATAAGATACTCCAGAGGTCAACTAACAGACTTCCTGCATTCATGTTGCATGGGAGAGTAAAAAAACAAACAGCACATGTTTTGTTTGTATCATTTTGCAGACTTTGGTGCCAGATATGCACTTTAGGTAAATTCTTTCTTATCTTGCCAATTTAAAGCTGGAGATATTTGTTGAAAATCTTTATTTGATTTATCTGATTTTAAAATGTATTCTATGCTTCAATAGACATATATTGTGCTGTACTATATTAAAGAGATCATCACCTGTTATCCATTAGATAAAACATGACAGAAAAGGTGCCATCAGCAGCCTTAATGACTGTACTTGTGTTTTCTTTTATTCTTCTTTAAAAATGTAGAGATTTTATGCCCCCGTATCTAAAAACGAGGTTTTCTGCTCACAGAAGAAAACACTGTTCACCGCAGCTGGCAGTAAACAAGGTCATCTTGCTTCAAGCACAGGTCAGAATAGAAAGTGAGGAGACAAATGTTGAAAGGATGCACATATGGTGTTCATTGTACGAGTCCTTTAAAGTAAATAAAAAGAAAAATGAATTGTGAAACTACAGTGTTTTTTTTAGCCCAGATTTTTGTATTATTGAGCAATTTGTAACTGATTTTCAAAAGAAAATCTAAATAAAAAAAGAATATTTGTTTTCTCCCTTTATTCTAAATGAGCCCTAAGTAGTACTAGTCATGTAGACAATGGTTTTTGGTGTGTCTTCGCTCACCAGGACATGCCTGGACATTACAGTCCTGGTACTCCACAGGCGAGCCACGGCACGCAACAGGAGCACTCTTCCCCTCCGGCCCAGCACAGGTTCGCCGACGGGTGCGGTAACCTTTGGCACAGCTCTGTGAGCAGCTTGACCAGGTCTCCCATGATGACCAGCCAGCGCCCGCCACTCTCACCACCGGTGTCTTCAAGAGCTCCTCGACGAGGGCTGGTGAGAGAAGAAAGCCGGGAAAAGAAAAAAGAAAAGAAAGGTTCCAGGTTATATTAAAGTCACAAAATATATTCAGTGCTGGTCGACCAAGAGTAAAGAATTTAAAGAGAGATATGAAGCATGCAAATTCTTTGAGTGTAAGTCTCACAGAGTATATGACTTTGCCAGCAGGCAAATTTCTCTCTCTGTCCTTCTCTCAAACTCTATCTGTGTCTCTCATGTCGGCGTTTCATCAGTTTGTCAGAGTCGATGCGGCCCCCCAGGAGGCTGACAGAGGGGGGGGGGGGCAGGTAATCGATTCAGGACAGGGGGGCATGAAAAAGCCACCAGCGGAGAGCAATGGATTATGACCCTGTGTAGCTGTCTCAGTGTTAATGTGTGTGTGTGAGTGCTGGACTGTGACCCCTTCACTAACAGCATTTAGGGAGGCTAACAGGTCTACAGGAGAGCCCTTTCAGCATGTCACGCTCCAACTGGGAGAAATGCAGGAGAAACGCTGCTGCCTCCTCACTGTCTTCATACAGTGGCTATTTTGTGGTGTGTGTGTGTGTGTTTGGTAAGTGTGCAGTGCTGTGTGTGTCTTTGAGTGAGTACACATAAACACACAAACACACAGATAGCAGATTATCATCCTATTGAAAATTCCCCACACATGCACTAAAAAGAAAACATCTTTCCTGTCTCTGCACATTTTCTTTTGTATCGACTCCCACTTAAAACTCAGATAATTATAGTTAAAGGGAAAATCCACACAGAATACATATTATTATTTATTCCCATATAAATGAAGGCAGGCTGCTGTGTCCTCAAGGTGGATATTGGAGCATTAAAGTTGAACTGACTATGTCATCAAGTGACTTTAACATTCAGTTTATTTATAGCGCAGCATTACCCCAAGGAGTCTCTGCACAGATTACAGAATAAATAAAAACATCCGACACACACCATGGCCACACAAACACATGAATCATAGAATATAATGATTAATGGTGATAACAGAGACAATTAAAATACAGTTAAAGTGAGGGGTTAATAGTTATTAGGTAGAAGGTTATTCAGCCAGTTAAAACAGATGGGTTCTGAGCCTACATTTGATAAAGTGAGAGCCCACCTCCGTCTCATTCAAAAGGAAGGGAGTGCTGTGAGCAAAGGCTTGATCCTGTAGGAACAGTTAGATATCCAGCACCGAGTGTAACGGCGGGAACACACTGCCTGTGTGGCAGCTGCGTCGCCGAACTGCTGTGTGTTCACACTGGTTGCATCTCTGCTGTGTTGCTGCTACTGCCAGCTCTGTCTTTCTATATAGACTTTGCAGGCTACTCGAATGTTGGATTTCTTTTCATTATAAATTGATTTCTGATTCATTTTTGACAGAAAATGTCACTTAAGTGCAACTGTCTCCACATGCAGGTACTAAAATGGTTTAAAAATATACAGTATTTCTGTTTCTTTATGTCTAATATATTCAGATTCAACCTAAACATAGACAACTATAGTGAAAGGTGTGAATTTTATGTAATGTTGCTGGTATGATGATAACAACAGCAGGTCTTTTCTCTGTCTATTTTTGCTGTGGGCTGCGCGCATCTCACGTGAAGAATAGGCGAGGCGACGAATCTCTAGATCATGTGACACAGCCGTGAGGCATGAAATGCACATGTGACGCAGCCAGCGTGTCGACTCTAGCCCCTTAACATGGGCGCTGAAATTAAATCCAAGACATTCTGCAGCTGCCACGCACCCAGTGTGCTCCTGCCTCCTGTTCATAGTGTGTGATGAGCGTTTATCCCAGTTTAAGTAAGTAAAATTGTACACTTGGGAGGTCACTTTATCACCAAAGCCTGTGTGATGTGGGGCCTTTAAAGGATTTATGAGGAGGGCCCCGTCAGCTAATGTGTGAATTCTATTTTATGGTAGCTTTTCCCTTTGAGTGTATAGCTGTAATTTACCGACATGCACAGACCTGAACACATCACTGTATCTGTCAGCTGGTTAACTTACTGTCTGTCTCACAGGCTGCTGTACCATCGTTGGGACAGAAGCGCGTCTCCACCTTCCTGCGTCCGATCTGCAGCTCGTGGGGATCAGACAGGTGCGCTCGGCACATGTAGCGCATCCTCTGCTCCTGACGAGCTCCGCCCTGCGTTACATTGACGGGCATCCAAGGTGTCCAAGGTGTGTTCCTCTTCACCTCTGGACACGCCTCCAGGTTACAGGCCTTGTATTCCTGGAAGTAAAAGGTGGCGGAAGTCCATTAATTATTGAAATACTTTTTATATCAATCTTCAAACGTCATCAATTTCATCCCAATCTCTGACTCTTGTTAAGATGGCAAACAAAGGTGTCTCCTGTACTGTGTATGTACTGTGTGCACAGTGATACTGAAATATTGACACTGAAATTAAAATGTTCTCTGTTTTTCGGCTGAAAACTGAGCTGCAGGTGGTCCCCAGAGATTGTCAATCATTGCACAGGGGTGAAAAACATTCTGCATTTTCTGCATAAAAAAAGGAAATGTGACATTTTGTTTTGACATTAAGGATTTCATTGACATTTAACAGACATTTTCTGTAAACAACAGGCTAAATGTGAACATACACTCACTGTACTTACTCAAGCTGAGCCATTCAAGGTCAGGGGAGAAAATTGAAAATGTGTCTGTATTTATCTCCACTGTCATCATCACCCGCTCACCTCTATAATGATTTTGGCCTCACTTCATTAAAGTATCATTGTTGAGCCTCCAACACACAGGAATGAACATTTTCTACAGCAACAGCACGTCTCTGTTCAGAAAAAAATTTAATTTATCCTTTCACAAATGTCTGCTTTGAAGAGGGAATTTGCATTTGATCTACGAGTTCTGTCACAGAGGCAAGGAGACGGATTCTGCTGAGGCTGACAAATGTTCTTCTGCGTCTTTGTTTGTAAAATCGATGTCGAATTTGTGTGTGTATAGTATATTTCCTACCAGTGCACATCCCGGGCAGCTGTTGCCATTCTCACAAGTGCGGACCCTGGAGTGGACACCACCCCCGCACTCGGTGCTGCACTTGGTCCACGATCCCCATGGAGACCAGAAGATAGGCTGAGGACAGGACACCCCTTCATTGCAGAACCTGTGGCGGTGGTGGGAGAGCAGGTGGGGGAGTTTAAGAGGAACTTAGTCATAGCGATCAGTGGCAGATATTTGTATTTATTACAGTTTTGGAAGGCACTGATGTCCCACTGATGGTGGCAGATATGAAAACACTTAAAGGCTTATTTTGGATCTGTTTTGTTGTTTATATTAAACCTGTTGGGACATCCTGTGAGACTTTCTTTGACAAGCCCCAAAAGACACAAACACAGTTTTGGTATCTAGTGAGCAAAGACGGGATAAATCTAATCTCTCTGGCTCGTACCGTAGCACTCATAATATGACTGTCGCATTTATCAATTTCAGCGTGTTTGCTTACTTTATTAGTACAGGTGCTCTCAGCAGGAGATGATATTAGAAGATGATGTCACTAATTGATTGGAAAGAAGCATTTTTATCATTTCATCCTCACCTCTCGTCCCTGCTCGGCCCCACGCACACACGGCCGCCGTGCCGGGGTGAAGGGTTGTTACAAGAGCGCTGTCGCAGCTCGAAGCCTGTGCCACAGGTTGTGCTGCACTGTCCCCATGACGACCAGGGCGTCCAGCCTCCGTTTCTATAGCAACAGACATATGGAAAAGTATTAACAACCTATTTCACGGTGGTTCAAAAACCTGCATAATTATTTACCAGTGCTTTTAGTATTACTCTTTAACAGGGTGTTTTCTAATGCTCAGGGGAGAAAAAAAAAAAAAGCTTTTTAGTTTTGTCTAATTATTGGTCTGATTCTGAGCTTCTGGAAACAAAAATGCAAACACACACAGTGAGCACATTTGACTGGGAAACATTCATTCAATTTGCTTAAGTGCTTTGTTCCTGGGTAGTACTCCTCATGATTTAATTGCCACTTTCTGCAAAAGCACAATTCAATTTCGACACCAAGGATTAAATCTGGCACAGCTATCCAGTGGGATGAAAGTGCCTAATCTTTTTCTCTCTGCTCTGCTCTCTTTAACACTGATTGGCCAATTCCCCGGCATACAGAGGTGGTGAGAGGTGTCACAGGGAGAACCTGGATGTCACCTGCATTTTCTAATAAGATTCACCTTCATGATCCATCTCATATTCGGTCAGAGCGCAAAAAGCGGCCTGAGGTGCATGCTTCAAAATCAGTCAGGACATTGCTGCTATAATAATAGAGTTTAAAGTTCCTATATTGTGTAAAGTGAGAATTCCATGTCTTTTTTGATTATAAAGCAGGACTAGGTTTTATATTAATACTGTGAAGGTATCAAAGTACTTAGTCCTCAGAGAAATGCACACAGCCTGTATTGAGAAACTGAGCCTTAAAACGAGCCATCAGGACTTCTGTAACTTTGTGATGTCACAACAAAGCAGTCACTACTCTCAGACATGCCCAAAGCCCGCCCACCTGGATCCACCATCCAACCTTGCAGGATTTGGTTTACCTCAAATCTGTTATATTTTTTTTCAATCACTCAGAAAACAGTCAGCCAATCAGAAGAGAGGCTCAGACTCTCTCTTCTGATTGGCTCAATGACCAAAGAGAAGCCTGAGAGATGAGATGTAAAACTACGATGAGATGGTTTTGGTTCTTAAAACCACAAATGTATCTTCTTATGGATCAACTCTTCTCATTCATTTTTGACACAGGAAACGTGTAAAATATGGGACCTTTAAGAAGAGTGTGCCTGATCCTGGACCGGACTCATCTGCAAAATGACAAGCTTGATGTGCTGAATCACAGTAAACACTTGTAATAGTTTCAATTTGACAATGTCCAGTAGACTTGGCCAAAAAACATGATAGGATCACACCATCTTGTTATTTATGATATACTCTAGATCTTATTATTCATCAGTATATTTGCTATCATTTATTATTTTTGAGGCTATACCGCAGACCCACAGCATCAGTTTGGTTTTTGGCAGGGCATGTTTGCACATTAGTAAAGTACCTTTCTAATATGGAGAAATGCTCTACGTAACGCAAAGAAATCCATTAGACAAACAGTTAAAATACAATGAAGAGAGAAATAAAATCAAATAAAGTGGAATAAAATTAAATAAGCTACAAAAAATAACAGACAAGGAATGGGGTCTAAGTAGGTTTACACTGCAGTAATCAGATGCCAAAATTAAATAAAGGAAACGTGCAGAGAAGAGAAATGAATAAATCTGCAAAGTAGCTAAAAGCAGCTTCACTGTGTTTTGGTTCTTACTCAGGATAGTACAGACTGACAGTCCTAAAGGTCTAAGGGACCTACAGGGTTTATATTCTTCAAGCCTATCAGAAATGTACTTTGCCCACAGGCTGCTGAGTAATTTAAAAACCAGCAACAGCTGTAGAATCTATCCTGAAGCTAACTGGGAGCCAGTGTAAAGATTAAAGAACAGAATTTAATGTGCTTTGTTCTCCCGGTTCTTGTAGGAACTCTGGCATTTCTGAATGTGCTGCAGTTTTCTAATTGTAATTATAAGAAGACAGGACAAGAGACTGTGGCGATAATTCATCCTGTTGGGGATGAAGGAATGAATGACTTTCTCCAATTCCTGTCTGAGCATAATCCTTTTAGTTCTTGATTCTTGTTTTACATGATAAAGGGCAGATTCAGATGCTGCCTCGATGTGAGATCTGAGTGGATTAAAACCTCCCGAGATTTCTGACTTGGTCTTTTCACCTTATACTTCTTCCTCTTCCTTGTTAGAAAACAGTGATTTCTTTGTCTTTTTTCAACTGATTGAAAACATCTTTCCAACTAGTAATATAATATATAACACAGTGTTATTATCTGTTATACTGTAGTCATTGTAATATTACTTCTTAAGACCTTTACTTTATAATAACCTTTATATTAATTATCTTTAAGTCGTAAAGTATTATCATATTAATACATTTAAAATGAAAATTCAAGATTATGTTCATTATTATAAAGTGATTTTATCATCATCATCATCATCATCATCACCACCACCACATCTTTTCCTTTCCCGACCTGGAGCAGTTGGCGACTTCGATGGTGGGGCCCTCGCAGTTTTTGCCCCCACATCGAGGGGCGGGGCTGTCACAAGACCTGGAGCGACACAAACAGGAGCTCACGCCATCCACACCGTCATCGTTGTTGCAGGGTTGCCATGGCGCCCAGGGTCCGAAGCCACCATTGGTGGTCTGGTTCCGCAGCTGGACAACAAACGTCAGTCGTGATGAGAGAGGGGTTCGGTTAACAGACATCAGTCTGAGTTATTCAACCATACAACACGTGTGTGTCAGTGACCACAGTGAGTATATTGTATAAGTAGTGTCAGAGTGCAGGACTTTCCCTTCAAAGATGGAGAGAGAGAGTTTTCAGGGGATTATACAGGAATAGATTTACTGCAATTCACTTCAGTCAAATTCAGTCCAGTTGATCTAATTCATCTAATCTAATTTATCAATTCACTTTCCTTTCTTCCTCTACTGCTTCAATATTCAGTCCTGTCTGGTACAACACACTGAGAAGTCATTAGTCATGGACGAAGCCAACCGCTGTGATATGTGAAAGATGACACCAAGACAGCCCCACCGGGACAGACATGAGGCCGTGTCAGCCTCTCTTTACAGTAAGCGCTGCAGTGACGTCATCACTCTTACCGGACAAACGGTGATGTTCTGCTTCCACTGGCTCATGTTGGAGCTGTCCTCCAGCGTGGTGCATCTGCGCTGCCTGAAGTCCCAGCCGCAGTAGGGGTCCCTCGCCTCCAAGCACAGCCTGCAGGGGACAGGAGGGAGGAAGAGTGTGTTGTCAGCAAAGTAAGGACTTTAATTGTTAAACAAAGACAGTGCACATTAATAAACATTACAGTGAATGTACCAGAGTTAAACAAAAAGTATTTTACATCTGCATTCCCTGGACAGATGTGTAGACAGTCTGAAATAATTGAAATAAATTTAAATGAAACAAAATAAAGTCAATATGTTTAAAGAGCAACTTTATAACCATGCCCCCCTCAATTATGCAAAATATATATAATAATAATATATCATATGAAATAAAGTAAATTCAAATGCAGTCCACGCCAGAGTTGGGTATGTTTATACAGATAGAGTTTATTTCTGTTTTACATGTGTTGGACTGAACGTGATGTTGTCTTGTTCTCTTGTACAAATCAACATAATTGATTTTTTTTTTTTTTTTTTTTTTTGCAGATTTCAAATTCACAAAAATTTTCTCTGCAAAAACCAAAGAACTGCTGCTGCAGTGAACACTGTCGACCAGGACCTGAATGAGTTGATGGTAAAATTAGAGATTTTGGATTTCATGTTTTAAAAGTTTTTAAAAATATATATATATATATAAATACAAAAAATAAAAAAAAATATACAGTGAAATTGTGTAGGAGAAGAAGTTAATTAAATAAAGACAGCGTGAAAAGTCCAGTGTTTAAACACCGAGGCACCACTGTGACCAAGCCTCTCACACAAACACTATACATGGTACATCACCCAAACAGAGATTAAATATTTGTAAGCTCCACCAGTAAAACAGAGGCTTAATGACAGCTAATTAAATCTAAAGCTGTTAATGATGAGGCTAAGCCACCAGAGCTGATCTTGATGCCTCAGGAAAACAGGATAAAAGGCATCTGAATAACTCCTCTCTCCTCTCAAAGACTCCCCTCCACTTTCTGCCTCCCTTCCTTTCTCTCCTTCATATCCCCCCTTTTGTCCTTCTCTTTCTTCATCTATCCTCCCTCTCCCTCTCGACTCCTTCGTGACATCGCTGTAGCTCCCTTTCCTCTGCTCTCTCCATTCAGCTGAAAGGAGAGATTCTTGTTGTTGCTGTATTTTTTTTTTTTTTTTCTTTGCTGGCACAGACCATCGTGGTTTATTTGAAGAGCCCTGCAGTGTTTTAGCCTGGAGGTTGAAGAATCTCCAAGTGTTGATACAGCTCTCTGTGCCAGGTCTGGGGCTCCACGGTGAACCCGGGGTCGGCTTACATCCAACAGACCTAACTGCTTCGCCAGCACATCAGAGGTGACCCCACAAAGAGAGAGCGTGAGCGAGCGCAGGAGGAGAAAGAGAGAGAGAGAGGGAGAGAGAGGGAGAGAGAGAAAGAGAGAGAGAGAGAGAGAGAGAGAGGTCGTGTTCTTTGGTGATCTGTGGCACAGACAGAACAGGAAGACTTCCTCCAAGAGCGTGATGTATTCACTGCTAACCTTCTTGTGTGTCATTTTAATTAAGTGACACTATTACAGCGACGCTGGATGCAATCTCCAATACGGATGAAACAATAATCATAATGAGTTTGGCCACAAATTCACAGTTCAGTGAACCTAATGGCCCATTTGAAAGGGCATAGGGAGGAGCGTGTTGCCATTTTGGCTCAAGGTCGACCATATTGTATCTGTGATAGCTTTGATGTGTGGCTTTGCGTCGTCATCATAGCTGGAGAATTCTCATTTGGCTTTCTGATTACTAACACACTCACCTCCAACACACACACACACACACACACCATTACAGGGATCAGCTAAGCGGAACAATTAATAAGTGCGTCTTTCAAGGATGGAATAAATAATGTTTTATGAAAGGGAGAGATGGGAGAGATTTGAGGCCTAATTAGCTCTGGATAAAGTGTGCCGCAAGGCAGACAGGGAGGCTTCTGACCTAAGGGAAAGACACATTTAGTCTTGGATTCACCCTGTTTGCATTAAGTCAGAGGAAAACGCTCGACAAAATATGAAAAAAGGACGACTGCGGCTCAACTGAGTTCATGCTCTAAGCTCTTAAGACCAGAAAAAATGTTATCAGCTTGAAAGAAATGCTGACAAATTGATAGCAGTGGAGGTGAGGATAGGGGTCAGTGCTGGAGGAAAACTATATTAACACATCTGCAGGCACATGTGTGGTGTGTGCTGACAAGAACACACACACACCTAAAACACAAGGTATGCAAGTTGTCCCAAATCCATATGGCCAAAAGTATATGAACAGATACATATACACACACACACATACTCCAAAAGTATCTATACTTTTGTGTACTTTATGTCTGGAGCTACTTTTTGTGGTTTTTCTTAGTTTGGGTAAGTCCCCTTAGTTCCAGTTATGAAAACTGCCACAGTATATAATTCCTGTTTCAACATGATAGTGCCGCCCTGCACAAAACCAGGTCCATGAAGACATGGTTTTCCCAGTTTGGTGTGGAAGAACTTGACTGGCCTGCATAGTGTCCTGACCTCAACCCCATCCTTAGTAGCAGTAGAATAGTACCATAGACTGTAAATAAAGATGGACGTAGCTTCAGTGACGTCAACCGTAGGTTTCCAAAGAGCGGTTTTGAAGCTCAGAGCGGGCTGCTCTGCTGTCGCCATCTTGCCAGTACCTGACTGTGCCGAACTCCTGGCTAATCCAATAATGGGCAAAGTGTGGAGAGCATACACTCACCCACCTGTTACTCAAAGTGGCATGCCTTCAATTATGCAGAGCCCTAAGCCTTGATAAAAATGAAATGCGTGAGTTAAATAAAAATTCGCCCCCGTTCAGTTGTCATGAAGAAGGAAATTAGAGACCGTTTTGTACCAGGTTGTAAACATGTTTATTTCTGCTGTAAAGTTGTACATTCTAACATGGGAATCTCTGGGGATTGACTCACTTTTCGAGCCCGCCTCAAGTGGTCATTCGCAGAAGTGCAGTTTTTGGTACTTCTGTGCTGGCTTCATTTTTCAGCCTTGGAGGTTGCCGCTTGGTTAATACCCATGGTTTTAGAAGGAGCTGTTCAATTACATACAAGTGCAATGTCCAAATACTTTTGGCTGTGTAATTCTAATCAAGTCTTGAGTATGTATAGTTGGGTGTTTACACTGGAAGACACCAAAAATGACTCCATTATCTAGTGGTAGCAGCAGTAGTGTAGTTATATACAGTATTACATACTGCATCGTTTTCTGCACAACAGTAAAGGACAATGATTTCTTCTACACTTATAGCAAAAGAAGTATGTTGTAACATATATAGCATACATAGTATATTCTACTAGTATAATATGGGATTAGGGCACAGCACAAGATTGCAGTCTCAGAATTTCGCCCAATCATTTCCTTCACTAGGGGCCATTTAATAAACAAGAATTTACTATGACAGAGAGAAAAGGGGGCGTACTGAGGCATTAAGCTCTCACTCTGACCTTTCTGCAGCTGCATTAAACATCAGCCAAATACTCTCCATGCCTTCTTGTCCTGACCGCTCAGTTTTTTTAAAACAAGACCCCTGTAAAAGTCAATTAGGAGCACTGTGTGTGGAGTCGGGGCCGTGTAATGGGAATAGAAAAGCTAATTTCTCTAACAGGCAGTGCATTGGGATGTCAGCCGGGACAGTCTGGCTGAGTCTGCAGATACACTGGAATCTGAGTCATCTTTACTGTATGAGATTGTGTGTGTGTCTGAAAGAGAGAGTGTGTACATAATCAAGTGTGTTTTCTGAATGCCCGTCCATTTGTGTACACCGGAAGGGCGTGTCTTTGCACTCTGGTTTTGCCGCCATGTGTGAGAGCATCTCTTTGACGAGCCTGCAGGGCACCGGCTGATATTTAATTCAGCAGCGTGCGTGCCCAGTGGCACACTATATCAAAACAGAGAAGCCATGGAACATGGCCTGTTAAATGTTAAACAGACTGAGCGGCAAAACCCACCAGCCCATATAACAATATGTCTGGACAATTGGCATCGGAAGATAAATCTGCCGGATTCTCTCGGTGGGGGTGTAATTGACATTTTAAATCGTTTGCGAATGCTGTAAAAACCAGCGTCTCCTTTTATTACAGACCCTTTAACAACTAGACATAAAAACAATAGTTCACCTCGTCTTTAATGGCAGGCCATCAGTGTATAATTGCAAATATGATCACCAGAACTGATAAATTATGGATTGGAATCATTATTAGCTATAGCGCTGACACTCTGGGAATACGTTAGTAAAGGCTGTCTGGAGGGTCTGACTTGGTTAAACATATGTCTGCATATGCCTGCCTCTCTCCATCTCTCCACACAAGCTATGTCTTTTTTTTTCTTTTTTTTTTTTTTTGCAACCACTCTCAGGAGACCACCGCTGACAGGCTCTTGCTCCTCATCCTCTCTCCAGGGGGAGAGAGCTCGTCCCTGGGAGATTTTTTTCCCCACTGTGCTGGGCTGATGGCCATTTAGGAAGTCTGCTCATGATGAATCAGAAACGCAGACAACTCCTGCTAGCATTCAGCGCTAATACATCCAATTAGGCCCAGTTGGAGCCAGGCTGAAGAGTGATGGTGCAGGGTCCAAAATAAAAAAGTGAGATGGCTGTCTGCCCAAAAACGCCTGCTGTCCTCCATGTACAATTTCAGCCCCTGGTGAATAAAAAGGAGCTGCATCATCACAGAGAAACAATGGGGAGGCCGAGACAGGCTACAAGACAGAGAAAGAGACAGAGGACGAGAAAATATAAATATACTAGAAGAGAAGGTGATCGACGTCAGAAAGATGGCTGAAATAGAGAGAGGAAGAGGTCAAAGAAACTGAGATAGCACAGAGATGGACAATGCAGATGTGGACAGAGATAACGCAGGACAAGAAAAACAAAAAGCAATTCAGTATCTGAATCCTTTTAAATCCATTATCTGTACTGGCTTATCCTATCCCACGTCCTCGAGAGGTGGATTACAAGGATGGACAGGTCACTGTTCCTGCTGACATTTATAGACTACAGCCACCTACAGGTGATTCAGAGTCACTAATT